GAGGTCGAAATGAATTGGCTCAGAACCAAAACAATCCTTTCACCTGGGGTTCTAATGGGACCCTCTGCGGTATGAGGGGCTCCAGCAATGAAGGCGAGCTCAGAGTCCCCAGGTATGGAGGTGGCCACAGCAACTCAGGGGCCCCGGCCAGGAGCCCCAGGTGACCAAGGCCACCAAGGCTGTGGCCAGAAGCTGCAAAATCACAGCGGCTCTGAGCACTCCCCACCGCCAAGAGAGCAAGGGGTAGAAGGGAGCGGGGTAAAGACGAGCTGACCCCTGGCAGCAAAGGCCTCCAGAAGGGCTGGGCAGCTCCAGCCCCGGAGGGGACTCGGCGCAGGTGGGGTCGCCCTTATGGACCCCAGGATCTCCAGCTGGATCCGAGGCTAGAGAGGTCGGCAGGGACAGCACGTAAACTGCTGGAAGAGGGAGGGCCAACGGGAAGATGGAACAGCCCCGGGCAATGGGCTGTCTGGAGGGGCCCAGTGGGGAGCGCTGGACACAGAAGGGACGGCGGCAGCCGAAGAGGAGGAGAAGAGGATGGAGGAGGGGGGGGCGGCGGTGTCGCCAGAAGCGGAGGACCCGTGCGCGGGCTGTGAAGCAGCCGGCGAACAGACGGTGGGCTGTGGACGTCGATCAGGTGGGGGCGGACTCGGGTGGCTGGGGGCGTGCCGAAGGAGCCGGGGGAGGGGGCTAGTGCGGCCCTGGGGAACGGGGGGAGGGGGTCCCTCCAGCGGCTCTGCCCGCCCCCGACCCCGCCCCAAGCCCTCGCCCCCTCCCCCCTTTCTTCTGGCTCCGCCAGCACGAGCTCCAGACCATGCGCCCTCCACCCCCGCGCACACGCGCCGGCTTCCTCCGCGCCTCCAGCGTCCCCAGCGCCCCCGACCCCTGCAAACTTTCCTGGTGACCCCCCCACACCACCACCTCAACCCGAGGTCCCGGCTGGAAAGCGCCCACTCCTTCCATGCCCCTCCCCCGCCCCATCCCGGACCCCGCCCCCTCCTTCGCCTGCCCGCCCCCGCGCACTCACGCGTTTGCCGGGGATCCGTCTCCGCTCGGCTCGGCACCCCGACGCCAGTCTCCGCCACCGCCGCCGCTACCGCCGCCGCCGCCGTCACCGCGGGACGAAGCCACTGCGAGCCCCGGCGGGGCCCCGCCCTAGCTCCGCCCAGGACCACGCCCCCAGGGCGCTTCATGAATATGCATGAGCCGGTGGAACCCGGGAGTGGGAAGCCGGTGCAGAATTCGTCTCACCGTCGGCAAACAGGCGCGGCCCAGTACTCAATTATTCATGAGGCTTGCAGATGAGGGGCCTGCCCCAGGCTCAGACCGGGGCGAAACTGACGCAATTCAGCCGGGAGCGCTCGGCTAAAATGGCCACCGAGACGACTGCCTAGAGTGACTGCCTGGGCGGCCCCTCCCGGGTCCCGCCGCCTGCACGGAGCGCGGCACCATCGAGCTAAGCGGCAAGAAGGTAGCCGCCGGCGGACTGGAACCGCTTCCTGGTACAGCCTTGAGTCCTGAGAACGCGCGCAACGTGGCCACCACTCGTGTGTCAATTCAGATTTAGAGCCACCGTGAGGGAGTCTGGCAGTTCTACTATCCTCGTTAGTGACCTTTATCTCCTTTTAGGCCCCTTCTCAGACATGAGTTCCTTCCTACACTGTTTGTAACCCACCTTCTTCACATAAGAACAAAAGCTTCCCGTATACTCCCTTTCTTGCACCCCCATCAGGCTGCAGCCACCAGCACCCAACACACACGCTCATCCTCCCCAACTCTCCAGGCTCAGGTTTCCACTCCCCTGGCTGCGGGAAGGGCAGTCAATCCTGATTTCATTATCTAAAGCCTTGGAAGACCCTTGCTTGACTCATAGGTAAGGATGCAGCCAAGAGCTGCCTCCCCCTAGCTTGGCTAATGGAGTGTAATTGGGAGAGGCTTCCTAATCGGATCAGCTCTCATTTCTAGACTCTCAGGTGGCCCATCCCGGCAGAAGAGGGTGAAAACCAATGCTTGTCCAGCCGGGAACAGACCATGATGTACCTGGAGACTTGCTTCCCGGCTGGCCAGGAAGCCTCTGCCCAGTGTGGGCAGAGCAGTAACCACCACCAATAAAAGTGGGAGCAATGCACCAGGGCCACAAAGAAAGCAGGACACTGTTTCCAAAGTTAGTTCCCTTTATTAAATGATTTTCACAGACCAGAAATACAAAATAAAAGTAGAAATAGGCCCCCGGTAGGAGCTACAGGCCTGGCCTCACATGACCTCTGCTGCAGCAACTTGAACAGGACGAGCAGCAGCTACATCCTTAAGGTCGGGAAAGTAAGATGAGGATTTGGATCCTGCATTGCCCTGCCTCCCACCCTCTCTCTCCCCAAATAATAAACAGCCATCCTTGGGAAGCAGCAGAGTTAAGACATCTCCCCACTGCCCTAGTGACATACACACCAGCAGGAGAGCGTGTTCAGATGGCACAGAATCCAGGGACTACATTTCATGAGGAGAAACTGGTACCAAAATATGGGTGGGGAGTCGGGGGTTGTGAGAAGGCAAGCGCAAAGAGGAGAACCTCCCTCCGTTTCTACTCATCGGATCCTGACGCGGAGTCTTCTGAGCTGGGGGGAGTACTGGCTAGTTCTTCTTCTTCAGAGTCCTGAAAACCAAAGGTGTCTTAAGGGAAAAGGTAGGGGCCCCAGCCACTCTTCAGTGAAGGGCCCACAATTCCCTACCGCCCCCCAGCTGCAGCACCCACCCTCACAACCTCAGAATTCCACCATCCACTCCGACTCTATCCTTACAGACCAACCCCACGCAGACGCACACGCCCCTCACGCTGCCCAGCCCAGAGCCCCCACGTGCCTGCCGCACCTCGCTCCGCCTCCTCTTCTTTTTGCTCTTGTTCTCTCCGGAAGAGCTCTCATCACTAGACACAAACTCTTTGCTTTTGAAGCTCTCGCTTAGCTGCCTTGGGGACGACTTGGATGACGAGCCCCTAGAGGGTGTGGACTTCTTTTCCATCTTTACCTTTACTTTCTTCTTCTTCTTTGACTTGTCCCTGTTTTGGCAAGAGGGAAGAGGAGCTGGGCCTTCAGGTCCCCTCACTCTCACCATGGCCGAACCTCTCCCAGCTTCAGCAAGGCCTTTCCCCGATCCCAGCCACACTACCCATTTCACTCTGAACATAAACAGCCGTGTCAGCCTGAAGGGCACCAAGGGAGAGTATTATGAGTACACCAGAAGGATCAGAGGGCATAGCCTAAAGCAGCCCCATATGCAAAGCCTACTTGACATTTCTTGCTTTACTTTTTAAATTTCATGTGAACTGTGTATTGCACTCCATAATAGTATTTTTTTTTCATTCCCCCATACCTTCAAATAAAATGGTCCAGGAAAATGGGCCATATTTCCCCAATGACCTGAATGTCCTATTGTACCACCCGATACTTGGGCAATGGCCTACCCAGGTTTGAGAAGCACTACCTGAATCAGCCTGTTAAAAAAAAAAACATCTGCCACAAAAATCAAGTTACTGGTCCATGTTCTCAATACTCACCTCTTAGAAGACTCGCCTCGGCCACCTTCATATTCCTTCATGGCTTTTTCATATTCCCTCCTGGCATCCTCAGCCTTGCGATCCCACTCCTGTCTCACAAACACAGAAAAAAACAGCAAAGAATAAGACCTCTCCCCTCTCCCCTGATACAGGCAAAATCAATACAGAAAGTCCCACCAATGGCTCCTACTGCTCCCCATCAGTCATGAGACTCACCACCCCAAGAGAGCACCTCTTGCCAACCCATGAGATGCATCGTCCCTCCTCTGCTGCCGCTCACCTCTTTCTTCTCTTTGGACATTCCCTTCCAGATCTCGCCGGCCTTCTTAGAAAGATCCGTGATACTGATGCCAGGATGGTCTGACTTGATCTTCTCTCGGCTGGCATTGAGCCACAGCATATAGGCAGACATGGGCCTCTTGGGGGCATTGGGGTCTTTGCCCTTCTTCACCTACACAAGAACCCAAATGCCTTCAGCAATTTCCCATAGAACCCATACATTTTCCCAAAGAAATTATTTAGATCACCTAACCTGGAGAAAAAGTAGAGGACTAAACAGCATCAGGCTAGATGAGAGCTTGCTAAAGGCAAGGATAGTATCCCCTTCCTCTCTGCAACTCAGTGCTTAGCTTACCAGGGGCCCCCTTTCCTCTGGGCTCCTGGGACAGAAGCCCATCTCCTAATTCAAATCTTCCAGAAGCTTAATAATCTCAGGGCTAGTGAGAAAAATTTCCAAGAAAATACCCCTCAAGGCTATAATCACTGGCTATAAAAAACAGCCCCAAGGAAGACCAGTGATCAGGGTCCTACTGGTGGTGGACAGGAAAAGGTAAAGCGAATGCCCCCCGCCCCCGCACACCACACACGACCCCTCCCATCTAGAGTCTGCACCTCCACAGGCTTCTTTCGGCTCTTACGGTCCTTGGCCATCTTGGCCTTTTTGAGCTGTTTCCGCTTCTTCTCATCCCGGTCACTGTCACCCTCATTACTGGAGGAGCTGGCAGAGGCGTTGCTGTCAAACCTGCCAGAGGGCAAGCCAGGCTTAGACTTGAGGAGGAGGACAGGACCCCACGGCCTCAGAACAGGAGGAAAACAAATCCAAAGATACCCACCCAAAAGGGGCAAGGGAGGAAGGCCAGAGGACAGCGTCCACCACCCATCCCCAACGCTACTTCCTCCCATTCACTGAGGTGGCGTCAAACATGCTCTCTCCAGACCCAGCCACGACAATGGCTTACTTGATGAATTAATTAATGAAAAGTAAATCAATCAGCGGGCTTCAGCTGCTCTCCCTGGGCATGGCCAAACCAGTTCCATGTCCATCCCCAGGACCCCACGGGCAGAAACACTGCCTCATTCTTGCCTGGAACATGGCCCAAATCCACTTTACCACTTCCTTTGGGTAATCGTTTTAATCTACCCTACAGTCTTTTTTGTCTTTTTCTTCCCTTGTCAGATGGGTAATGCACCGAGGTCATAACAAGGCTGGAGGATGGCATGCTTCACACACGTACGTGCACCCAACCATCATGTTTGTGAACTACGAAAGGATCGGCCCCTATAGTCTTTTCTGATAAAAAATAATCAGTTACTACCAAAAGAGGAAAACCAACATCAGTTCAACCCAGTACAGACCCCTGTAACTGACAGTCTTATTTGATATATGTGAAACTTCTCAAAAATGGAACTGCCTTACATCTGTATGCTGCTGGACAGTTTTCAAGGCACTCTCGCAAGTATTTGCTCATTAAACTTTCATAAGCATGTGGCAAGCTTAACTAGTGGACCCGTTGGGTATTTTTTTTTTTTTTTTTTTTTTTTGCTGCCCGACATTTTTTTGCAATCCTTCTGGATTAAGAGAGCAGACTCCCAATATTCTGCTGGGAACCACCAGAGTGGGGGCAACCCCACTCAGAAAGGGCTCACCCCAATCACAGGCTCTAAGGGTGGGCATTTGGCCTATTTCTGGCCCATTAGGGCCCTGTCCATCCTAATAATTCAGACTAGGAAGGGGCAGGTAACCACTCTGTTCACTATGCTGGTCACCAAAAGAGGCGCTTCTGGTGTTGTTTTAAAGCAGTAGGATTAAGCCTGCCCACAGCTTCTGAGAGTCGCTGGGCGCCCCGTGGTACAAACCTATTTTGAATTAAGGAAATCGGATGAAATGGTTTGAGTGCCTGAATCCAATGGTGTCAGAAGCCCCACACTCTGCAGTAACATGAACTTATGAAATTCCCTTTTATATGTTCCCTTTTAAAGTGAGAGTGAGTCACATTTCTAACACTGCTAATAAAAAGTCTTAACCAATTTTGCAGGGGAACCAATGCATTTCTACCAATGAGGAAATTGAGATTCAATGACTTACTTGACAACATCCAGCAAGTAAATGCAAGCATCTGTTCTCATTCCCATTCTCTCCTCATCCAAGTACTAACCAGCCACAACTGGCACATGCAGGGTGGTATGGCCATAGATCCCACTATGCTTTTCTGACTTCAAAATATGCCTTGCACTTACAAAGCCCTTGACAATTTCCAAAACATTTTCATGATCACTTCATTGGAGGCCACTCTCCCATTCTGGGTCAGTAGCTAATGCTGGGACATGAGAAATGTCCAGAAATCCTCTGATCCTTTAAGCCTATGGGTCATCACCTTATCCCCACAAGGTACCACCAAAACTCACTCCTCTGCCACATCTTCCTCCTCTTCACCTGGGTTGAATGACTCATCTGAAAAAGGACACAGGATGCGTCAGCTTCTGAACCAATGGAAATCCCACCCCCTCACCCAGGCACCCAGCTCTGGCCCAAGGGCAACTGCAGCCCGGGCCACAGTGAGGAGCGTCTGACCAACCCCATGCTCAGCACAGAGGCTAACGTAACACACCAGTTTCTTCTCCCGAGTCATCGCTGCTGTCATTGGCATTTTCCTCCCGGATCTTGCCCTCCTCCTTCATCCTCTCCAAGTAGGCATCATGCTGGTCCTCATCAGAGTCGGCATATTCATCGTAGCTTGGGTTCATGCCCTAGCCAGGGAAGGGTTGAGAGTGGGGCCAACTCACCCTCGAGGCTGAATCCCTGCACACTCAAAAGCACACCCCCATGCCTGTCAAGTCAGAGCAGCAGCGCCCAGAAGACCTGGGGCTGGATTGTCCACACATAGCCAACGTGCAGGGCCTATGCCCGAGTACTTCCTGCGAACTGGGTTAGTCCAAGCCCCAAGCCCCTCCCTCTCCCAGCCCCACGGGGGGCTCCTGAGGGGCTGCATAGACTGGTCTAAGGTCATGCAGAGGAAACCTGCACCAGGAGGGGGAAAGGGTCACACGCACCTCTTTTTTCTATAAGGGTAAGAAAAGAAGAGAGAGTGAAAAAGAAGCCAGAAAAATCTCCACCCTTTTCTCCCCTACAGAAACAGCAGGGGGGGGTCTCATCCTCCCCACACAGAAGTACCTCTTTCAATCCTCGGTTTTTGATGTTGAGCTTTTTCGCATTGACAAAATCAAACAGTTTCCCGTACTCCTCCCTGTGAGGGGACATGCACCATGTTACTAGACAGGTAGGGCCAACACAAGGGTAAGCTAAATAACGTTCTGATTCCCATGAGCTGGGGGAGACTGTGGAGCCTGGAGCCCTTGACCACGCTACCCAATCCACAGCTTAGAAACCCCCAGAGGACAGCAGTAAGGCATAGCCAGACATTAGTCCTGAGAGAGGAACCTGTATGGCCTTGAAGAGCCCTGGGAAAAAAAAAGGCAGGGAGGGATGTGCACCTATAAGCTCAGAGCAGAGCAAGTGTGGGGGAGGGGATGTTGGCATCTTTTTTCATACTTTACAAGGTTGATATGAGGATTACACGTGAAGATGCTTATAAAACGTTTAGTGCACAGTGAGCACTCAATAAGCATTAGCCGCTATGTTCTCGGGCACAAAGATCATTCCAGGAAAGACAGAGATAGCATTTCCAACATGGCGGGGAGTGGAGGAGAAAAGAGACCAGTAGTGAAGACATACTGCTTTCAGAATATGGAATTTTTTTTTTTTTTTTAACAACCAGAAAGAAAGCAATGGAGAGGCTTCTAAAGTCTGAGCACTCCAGGGAAAAAGACCAAATCCTGATGTAGCAAAAGAAAACTTCTGCTCTAGGGTTGAAGAGTGCCCCAGACCATGTCAGCCTTCCCGGTCAAAGCTGGCTCAGGACCAGGATGCCCAGGAAGTGACGGGCGGAGCTTCTCACCTCTCAATGCTGCTGAAGGTATACTGAGTGCCCTGCTTGGTCTCAATTTCAAAGTCAAAGGAACGAGTCGTAGTGGTACCACGAGCAAAGTTGACAAAGGAGATCTCATCGAAGCGGATGTGCACAGGTGGCTTGTGGACGTAGATGAAGCCCCGCTCCAGCGGGTAGAGCAGTCCTGAGCTTGCCTTGTAGGAACAGGTGATGCACTGGGCCCCTGAGTGCCTGAGAGAGGGTGCAGGAAACCTGATTAGTGCCAACCTCAGCAGAGACAAAGGGCACATCTAACAGAGGCGACATGTGCACTCATGTCCGTGACTAAGTAAACCTCACTGAGCTGTGGAGATGGAGGCGCTGACACCTGTCATGACACAAGGTCCCATCCAGGGCTCTAGCAGGCTGCATTCCCATCTCAGGGGGGTTTACTAAGGAGACACAGCGTTTCCATACCCAGCCAGGCGGGGATCCCAGGCCCACACTCACCCTTGGAAGTTGCCTGGCACCGTGATCTTGCGGTTCACCAGTGCTTTCATGACCCGGCTGACCATCTCATAGAGGGATCCTGACATGTTCTTGGTGAGCCGACCCTCAAAGCGCTTCTCCACTTCTTCCCTACAAAGACGGCAAAGATGAGGTCACAGCACTACTGCCTTCTAATGGCACACCTGTCTCCTGCCTGGACAGTGGCAGGAAAAGAGCCCAGGGAGACACTCACTCATTCATGTTCAGAGTCAACGAAATGTCCTCGTCCTTGGAGAAGAGGAGGATCAGGAAGTGGTAGCGGGTTTGGCCTTGCTTGATTGGGGGATCCAGGCTGATCTAGTAAGGAAGAGCACCAATTGACACCCTATAACAATTTGCAATTAACCAACATAGAATTCTGCACACCAGCGAGAGCCGTCTCCTAAACACTTAGGTAAAAAACCAGGATTACACAGCCATCGGGGTTTCTACTTACCACAAAGAACATCTGGCGCTGGTCCTTGTGGGGCAACAGAAACAGCCGCAGTACCGTGGTGTAGGGGATCTTGTAGTCAAAGGTCTTGCCGTGCAGATGCAGAAAGGTGGGGTAGATCCGAATGTCGTAACGACCGCGAGGAGTCAGACACTGCAGCTCCCGGAAGATGCAGATGGCATCTCCCGTGGCCTGGATTACATCCGCTTTCGACAACACATTCTGGGCAAAGGCCTACAAAAGTACACATTGGTGACCAAACAGCAGGCCCCGCTTCCAGGCCAGCCAACGCCTGCTCAGCACCATATGCTGCCTGGGCAGCCAGGGGAAGCCTCACCTCAACAGGGTCCACACCATCCTCCTGGGTGGGAGGGACGTAGAAGCGCACCTCCATGAGAGACACCTCTGCGTCGTCGTTCTGGTGGAATTCCAGGGTCACCTCATTCTTGCCCGTGGTGCACTGGGACACGTTGCTGAGGGGTATCTCGAAGACTGGCTGGTCACCAATGTCAAAGGAAAGCAGCTGTCCTGTGAGGAAAGGGCTTATCAAGCCGCAGGCTCCCCTGCATAAACAACATTCCCACCAACCCGAGGTCCACAGAGACGGGAAACTGGGGCGAGGCTGTTCACACTGTAAACCCAACCCCAGGCACAGTGCCCAGTATACTGTAGGTATCCAATAATCAGTACTCATGATGAACATGCAAACAGATAGGAAACCAGAGACACTGGCAGAGGGAAAAGAACAGAACAAGGCCGGGCGCGGTGGCTCAAGCCTGTAATCCCAGCACTTTGGGAGGCTGAGGCGGGTGGATCACAAGGTCAAGAGATCGAGACCATCCTGGTCAACATGGTGAAACCCCGTCTCTACTAAAAATACAAAAAATTAGCTGGGCATGGTGGCGTGTGCCTGTAATCCCAGCTACTCAGGAGGCTGAGGCAGGAGAATTGCCTGAACCCAGGAGACGGAGGTTGCGGTGAGCCGAGATCGCGCCATTGCACTCCAGCCTGGGTAACAAGAGCGAAACTCCATCTCAAAAAAAAAAAAAAAAAAAAGAACAGAACAAGTCGAAGGCTGACACCCTTCACCCTATCTTCTTCCCCAAACCTCAGGACTCACCACCAAATTTCACTGTCCCCCAGTTCCAGCCCTTCACACAAAGGTCCTTCTCCATTAGCTCAAGGCGATAGTGAGTTTTGAAGAAATCAGAGAGTTTCTCAAACTCCTGTGGGTGGAGGGAAGAAAGCACAATCCCAGTAAACCCTGGTGGCCTTAAGATAGACTTGAATGTCCTGTGATGATCTATTTCTGAGAAACTGCCCCAAAATAGGCTTTATGAGAAACCCATGCTGACTAAGCAACCC